CTCTTTTACAGCAAAATTGAAAGAATCACCAAAATGCTCGATTTCATTTGCAAACTTCTGACTAGTGATAAATAATAGTTGGTAGTTTGATGATTGTATAGATAACGGAATAAATATCTCTAAAATTTAAATGCATAAGAGCGAAAGCAAATAAGAATTGATTATACACATCTGTCAATTCAAGATAAGAGTTAGTCATAATACTTATTGATCGACACAATATTTACGTCATATATTTGATAGAAAATTTATAATAGTACAAATATTAGGATACGTAAGCATGATTTACATGATATAGACGACATATCCATATGTGCACTTTATCGCATTTATATATTTTCTTGTTCTTTCTCAGAAAAGACATATTTGTTACTCAAATCTGTATTTATATCATTTACGCTTTCGGTAAGAGATTGTTACTGGACTAAACCGAATAGACTTTAGGTGGTCTCGTGGAACGTATCTGGTTTCTTTTTTTCTCATTGCTCTAGTTCCTTTTGATAGACTTTATAAATACGTTCGGATTCTGAAATATTTCATCTTGTAGAAGTCAAATGTGATTCTCGATAAACTTGAGTTGTAAGAATGTTAGGTTGTGACTTGTACTTTCGATTGATCGAATAATTATCCCAAGTTCATGTCCAGCTAGAACAAAATATAATGTTAATAGATCAATAGAATATAAACCTGTATATCCCTCAAGATGAGGATTTTTAGTGTATTCCTATTGATGGAAAGTCATAGAATTATCGAAAATCTTGTGTTATATATATTGTGACTTCAGAGAATATCTTTCTGTAGATACTCGTGATTAAACTAGTGTCATAACTGTTAAATCTGTGCCAATTTATTATAACTAGAGAAGTGTTTAATTATTCTGGTCTTGTTACGATAGTCTGTTAATAAGTTAACTTATCAATGATACCTTTCCGAAATGCATGAATATTATTGTGACAATCATTTTTCATTCTTCATAAGTATTCTATTTAAGTTCTAGATTAAAAAAAGAACGATGGCTACGAAACAAAATGATGTAATTGATAAATTCTCATATCTATCAATTAAAACACAACAAGAGACAGAAACTAACAGTGAAATCAATTCTCTTTGGTTGATACCATATTCATTCAAGTGTGGCTATTCATTTCAGTGTCCATTAACATTCAAACAATTAATTGATCGACAAATGAGCCAAAAATATTTTCAAGAAATATTAACTGTGACTGAACAAAATAATAAATTTTATGATTTTCATATGCGATTACGCTCACAAGGTCAGTATGGTTTAACGGTAGATTTCATATACAAGAATGCTGATGATCAATCAGGTCCAATTAAGGATGACGCATGTATTTCGTGTGATATGAACAATCAATTATCACAACTGAGTTTGATTAGACAAAATCCAACAACATATATTTGGTTAGATACACAACTGAGAAATAAATTGATTGTTACACCCCGGCGACATATTGAGCGATTATCAAATATGACAAAGGAAGAAATGGCACAGTTCTGGCATGATACGCAAGTCGTTTTAGATGAAGAAGGATGTGATTGGCAAAGTATGGTTTTAAATCATGGAAAATATCGAGAGCATGTTCATCTGCAGATGAAAATTAATATCGAACAACATCAATGGAATCAATATATCAAAAAGAAATATGAAAAGAAAATACAACAAATGCAACATTTACTCAAATACAATGAAAATAACCCTATAGAAACTTACGTTGGTCATCAGGAGTTTAATCAATGGAGTAAAATAAGAAGCAATCAACCAATGAGAAAAACATGCACAGATATGAAAAGAAAATGAATTACAAATAAAATTATCTAAAATACATCTATTTTTGTATTGTCAGCTACAAAGTATCACCTTACCTTGAATAAACATGTCGGCGTAATACGATGTATAATCGATTAATTAGATGATAGAGCAGTAGAAAATGCAGAAAGTATATGTATAATGAGCTGAAAACTTACTTGTCCATCTCGTTGTGTTATTTTACCAGAGTAAGAAAGAGTCAAACTAGATCAAAAGCAAAAAAATTTTTTTGCCTCGATTTTCGTCAAGATCTATTGAGTAAAGTCATGTATGATACTCCAAATCGATTTAGGTGCAGTACAGATGAACTTTCAAATGGATTGAGAGTAAAAGTACGCATTCTCTCACATAGCTATTTTCGTATAGAGCTTCTGACTTGTCTCATTCTCATCTTCTATTATTATTATTGTTATTTGGTTCTATTGACATGTGAATGATCAATGGATATGATTAAGCTTATCGAATATATTGTCTATCTTGTACAGGTAAGTTCTGATTATTTTTGTCGCTATGTTTACAAATTCTTTCGCTTTTCAATTAGGTATCAGATACATGTCAGTCACTTTTCTCGGATATTAATAGAGAGAGAGAATCACTCGAAACCGTGAGACACATCATGATTACAAAAACATTCAAGATCCAAAATTTCTTACCGTTCATTTGTGAATTTTTTATGATGAATTTTAAAAGCGCGGACTTATGTCTTTTAGAACCTTGATGTGCAACATTTGTATTTCCAATTGATTTCTTTGACTTGATTCTGTGAGAGTTGTTAATATGAGTTAGAAAATAGGCTGTGGCAACTTTGAAAAAATAGTGCCGGAGCATGGGTGGGTGTGAGATGGGAAACGTCCGCACTCACACTCACGCCCACATCCACATTTATCCACACTGACATCCCAGCTCTACGCCTCTAATTTCAGTAGAATTTTTTTTTCACTTATACGTTAATTAAATTATAGGAATCAGAGCTCCGCGGGACGCAGGACGGTACAAGATCAATTCACTTCCACGTCTCATCAAGTGAACATACAACAGGATTGTCACACATTGATTCCCATACATCGCTTTCGCTTTCATTCTCTGTTTTGGCCCGAATGATCCATTGCATTCATGCAACAATAGCAACAGTTGAGCGTGAATTGAATGGGGAATGTACTCGTTATGTCTGAATGTCAATCTTTAACTAATCTAAACAATGTGAACAATATATTTTTTCTCAGATCAGTTATTCCATGAACAGTATTTAAACTTGTATTTCTTGTTGAGCTTTCAATTTTTTTCATGAGAAAAAGCATTTTCATGTAAATATTTTGAAACAGATGAATAGTAAACTAAATGATTTGTGTTAGTATTGAAGAAGAAAGTATAAATTCGCTGTCACGATGATCTTTTCATCTTTCTTTTGCTTTATGCAGTCACACGTACTTATTTCATTATCACATCAAACGAAAGACTAATTTCGATAAGCAGGGACGGCGCGAAGAGGTCAGAGCAGGAGGGGGGTATCCCAAAAATTGGAGCCTCCAATCTGAAAAAGTCAAAATTGAAGAGCAAGAAAAAAACGTTCCCACTCTGCTGAAATTCGGAGGAAGACTCCAAACCTTTTTGGTTGTCATCGCTTTCTTTTTGAAGCAGACTTTCCGACATTCCTTCGACTACTCTGACCGCACTTCATGCAATATTATACCGAGGGTTCCAACAAAAAATCTGATTTTTTCTTTTTTTTTTAAATATTATTCTTCGTTCAGTCATCATTAACATCCACGTATCACATATTGCTATTAGTGACAGATGCATCTAGTCTATAATACTAATTTCTCGCTTAAGCACGAACTTAGATTATTGATGTAGTTCAAAAATCACAAGAATCGAAAAAAATAGTAGAATAGATTTCTTCAAACTTAGATTTTTGCCAAATTTAGGGTCGATTGTCTACTGTTTATCTCCAAAATCGGAGAAAATTGACTACGGTAGTTCTCCAAAATCGGAGAAGATTGTCTACTATGGTTCCCCAAAATTGGAGGAAATTCTGTACTATAATTCTCCAAAATCGGAGAAAATTGTGTACTGTAGCTCTTCAAGATCGGAGAAAATTGTTTATTGTATTTGTCAAAAATCGGAGAAAATGATCTACCGTAGTTCTCCGAAATCGGAGAAAATTGTGTACTGTAGTTCTCCAAAGCCGAAGAAAATTGTCTACTGTAGTTCTTCAAAATTAGAGAAAATTGTTTATTGTATTTGTCCAAAATCGGAGAATATTGTCTACTGTGGTTCTCCAAAGTTGGAGAAAATTGTCTACTGTAGTTTTCCAACATCGGAGAAGATTGTGTACTATAGTTCTCGAAAATTGGAGAAATTTGTCTGCTGTAGCTCTCCAAAATCGAAGAAAATTGTGTACTTTAATTCTTCAAAATTGGAGAAAATTGTCTACGGCAGTTCTCCAAAATCGGAGAAAATCGCCTAATGATCCCGTAAATTTGGAGAAAATTGACACTACCAAAATTTTCAAATTCGGAGAAAGCTCCAATCAAAATTTTCCAAAGCAGGAGGGGGGTGACCCCCCTACCCCCCCCCCCGGTCGCGCCGTCCCTGTCGATAAGTGTTAACAGTTGGATGTGGGTGTGTAGATATGAATCGAAGAAATACCCATACCCACACCCTATTGACACTTTATTGATCATCCAATAAATGCTTCTCTACGTACGGAATATAACTGATATTTACTACCTAATTTTTGTTGAGCAAAGACAGACAAGAAAATATATGAGTACTTTCATTATTATCGATTCTTCTTGCTTCAGATATCGAGATACTAAAAAAAAACTGCATCTATTTTGCTGAAAACTGAAGAGAACCAAACGATTCGTCTTTATCCCAACCCAACATTGAAAAAAAAACACAAAAAGTGAAAAGTTTGTGTTGAGAAAGATAGTGTTTTTTACTTTAATGTTCATGAAAAATCATCATTCCTACGAAACAGATCTTTTCTGATAAAATAATCAAAATTGCAAACTTTTGATTAGATGTAACTAAATAACAGATAGTAGTTCAACTACCAGTTACATACAAAAAATATTCCTAATGTTTTTCGCTGTTCTGCTCTCAATAAAATGAAAATTAACGAAAAAACTTTTTTATCTCAGTCAGTTCGATATTCCTTTGATGTGATAAGACGTCTCATATCGATAGAGTTTCGTTTTTGCTTCAAATCAACACGATGCTAATGTGCCTTCATAGCACAGTCAAGGTGAAGACATAATAGATGTCAGTTGAAAATGAAGAGTAGAAATCTAGGAAGTATACGAATAGGGATATTAAATACGTTAAGAAACCAGTAGTTAATTAATCAATAAAAAAAATTGAGAATGGCAGAATGAAAATGTCTTTTTTTCTATAGACAGATTAATCTCTTTTTCAACTGATTCACATAAATGCACCAGTTTATTTCTTTATCGTTTTATGAATTTTGAGATGTTATATAAGTTTATATAAATAGAAGAAGCAAAAGAATGATAGAAGGCGAGTTGAGAAGTAACGATATAAAATGCATATTATCGCAAAATAATGTATCGAAATTGTCTTAATAGAGAAGGAGAATAATAATCAGCAGCAGACTGAAAATAAAATAAGGTAATGATATCATTTTAATGGCGTCGTTGCATAAATTTGTCGAACAACAGAATACACCAACTCCTAGAACATTGTTTGGTATGCAAAATTTTAAAGCTTGTCGCATGATATGACTAGGAGTCACAACAGTCTCTGGAGACCAATATTTCTATTTAAAGAAAATAATTAATATAAGATTGAAAAAACAAAAGATATTCACTTACAGCACATGAATATCCTTCATTATCAGGTACAGTTATTTGTTCAATATTGTTTGACCGAAAGGGATCGTCACATTTCTCACCCACACACGAATAACATGACAGACCATCGATCAATTGAATAAAAGCTACAATTAACTGAAAATAAAAGAATCTTTTTCGAGAAAATAAATTTACCAAGTAGAAGAAAAAAGATGAAAGCAGTTTGTTGAAGACGAAACATCTTCCTATTCTTACACTACTTTAAACGGCACAAATTAAATGCGTATAATGATACATTTATATTTATTCATCTTGTATATAGGTAGAAAAGAGAAAGAGAAGGTATTTAATGCAAGGTAAGACATGTCTAACGACGATGTTCGATCAACCGAAGAAAAACAAACATTGATGTTATCTTTTTTTTTTTTTCGTCATGTTTTGCGTCAGCACATGGACATTATCATGTCAAAACACTGTTCCTTTTCTTGCGTAAATAAACATTATGTTATCGACAATCAAAACATATGAGAATAGTCGATAGAAATGAATATTAGTTAAATATCTATATCAGTAATCGAAGGATAATTCCAATTTATTTAAAAAAAGTCATGATGCATATCTCACAAATCAATTTGAAGACTATGGATTATTTATTTTTATCTCCCATCAATTAGATTATTTTAAATAAAAATCGTAGAATATGAAAAAATGATCGAATTCGAACAAAAATTATTGTTAACATTCTTTTCACGGTATTGATGCACATACTTCTTTGCTGAGAACATAGAGAATCATGTGAAGAC